TTTGTTGTTTTTTTTTTTTTTGGAGAGGTTTTCGCTCTAGGGTGTGTGTGCTCGCCAGACAGAGAGAAACATAAAGACAGAAAACGAGCAATCACCCCCCAGGGGGGATGGTCACGCTGCAATCCCTTCTCCTCCATTCTCCTCTCGGGATCTTGGGCACACATGCACATGCGCCCGGCGTGAGTTTTAAGCCACCGGGTCCGGGATGCGAACCGCGGTAGACTACATGGGAGTCCAGCGACATAGCCATTACACTAACTGCTGGTTCCCTTCCTTTCTGTTTTTAATTGTCAGAGGGCACATGTACTCACCAGAGAAAAAGAGAGGGAGGGAGGAAACTCTCCCCAGGGGGGTGTGCAATCCCTTCTCCTTAATTCCTCTGTCCTTTCGGGATTTTAGGCACATGGTCACACGTGTTGGCCTGTTTCTCTAGCTGTTGGGGCCAGGATTCGAACGATAGTCAGCCAAGTGGAATCCAACTCCCTTAACCACCAGGCTACAGAGCCAGCCCATTTGCAAAATTTTTATGGCTAAATATTTTGCAATATTTCTACATACATTCTTACTCCATTATTTAAATCTTTAAAAAAGCTATCTAACATCTTTATTATTGTTTCAAACATATCAAAGTGCAGGAAATGGAGTAACAAACGCACACTCATATCACTTGCTTCAACAGTTACATATCACTTGCTCTCCACTGGGGGACTTTGCCCTACAGAGGATAGTTGGCAATGTCTGCAGACATTTTTGATGTTCACAACTGGGAAATGCTTCTGGTAGCGAGTGGTAGAGGCCAGAGATGCTGCTAAGCGATCCTCAACACAAAGGACAGTGCCCTACAACAGGAATCGTCCAGTCCAGGAGCAGCAGGTGGCCTGGAGCTTTCGGCACTGGATCCCACATGGCCGACTGCTGGTTCAAATCTAGGACCCGGTGACTTGAGAATCATGCCAGGCATGTGTGTGTGTCCAAAACCCCATGAGAATGCCGAAGGGACTGCAATGTGGCCATCCAACATCCTCCCCACCCCACCCCCTGAAGGTGACTTCTCACCTTCCCTGTCTCTCTCTCTCTCCTCAGTGAGTGCATGTACCCTATAATCAAAACAAAAACCCAAAAAGAAAACAAAAAAGTTATCCAGTTTCAAATGTCAGTAGTGCAGATACGGACAGAGCCTGACTTATACCTTTCCCTGTCCTTCCCTGTGGCTCAGAGAACATCAGCTGTATTGTTTCATCTGTAAAGGAAACCGACAGGCAAAAATCGGGTCCAGTAGATTTTTTGATTGTCAGAGGACGCATGTGCTAGTAAGAGAGAGACCGTTTTCCAGGCCACCCCGGCTGAACATAGAACCAGTTCCCTTAACCACTAGGCTCCAGCGCTCGCTCCTAATACCGTACCATTACAAAACACACAGCCAGCACTCAAAGTCCCCTGCTTTCATTAAGTTTCTGCTACAGGGCACACTTGTTGCGCAGTGTGCGAGGAGTGAGAAATCACCTCCAGAAGTCCCCTCGCAGGGTTTGGAGAGCATGCAAACAACACATAAAAAGCCTTTTTTTTTTTTTTTTTTTTTTTTGCTCCAGGGCATCTGTCCAGCTTGCAGGAGAGACAGAGCAAGACAGAGACAGAAAGCGAGAAATCATCCCCTTGGGGGAGGGCTACTCTGCGATCTCTTTTCTTCCATTTTGCTTTCAGGATTCTGGGCACACGCACACACGTGCCCATCGTGAGTTTCAAGTAGTGGGGCCCTCACACCCCAGCCTTTTCCAAGCCACCAGATCTGGGGCTCAGACCAGAGTTGGCCATGTGTGATCCAGCACCTTAATCACCATGCCACCTGCTGGCCCTCATTTATTTGTTTTTATAGTTGCTTAGTTCAAACAAGATGCATACATTGCATTTGGTGACATTTTCCCATTTACTTGTTGACGAACCGGGTTATCTGTCCTGCAGAACTTCCAGTACCTTGGGATCTGATGACGCATCCCTGTGGTGTAGTTTAATTTCTCGGTCCCTGGTATATCTTAGACTAGCAGTAAATCTCTAATTCAGATTCAAGTTTTTGAGAATTCGCATAAGTGATGCGTCTATCTTTCGCTGGATCTGGAATCCAGCGCCTTAACCACTATCCCTTCTCTTCCAGTTTGCCATCCGTCCATACGGCAGGAGGGAGGGAGCAGCATCTAAACGGGGCTCCTCATGCTGGGACCTTTCTCTTCCCAGGACTTCCAGCCAGCCAGCACACACGTGGAGGCGCTCTGCGACCTCCCCGCGTGCACCCGGCTCCCCTGCGACCTCCTCGGGTGCACCCGGCTCCCCTGCGACCTCCCCGCGTGCACCCGGCTTCCCTGC